CTTTATTATAAGTACATTTAAATTCACTTTTTCTTTTTCCAAGGGATGCAGTTTATTTTGTGGATATGAGCCACTTGGTCTCTTTTCCTTTTTTGATGTGCTATTGCAACTCACTGGCAGCAGCTGTAACAAAGTATTTTAAAAAAGCTTTTTAATCAGTCTTCGAGTTATTTGCAAAACTCTTTATATGGAATACACAAAGTACATAACAGCCTCACACTTCATGATAGCACAGAGAACTGTGTGTCTCCCAGCATTTGTGTTACAGAACACCTTAACTTAGTCCTACAAGTTCACTCCAAACACAACCTGGTTTAGAAAAACTGAAAATATAACCCAAAATTCAGATCCTGTTTAACAGGATAAGATATGTGCAAATGCCAGGAAGCCCTACAAAAACAGAGGCCCAGGATATTCAGTTCTCAATTGCAGCTATGTGAGCAAATGTGTACACGCAATGCTTTACTCTATGGTGCCTGTCTGCTCCAGTCTCTTTGCCTCCCTCTTTTTTGGGGGGGTGTGGGGCTATGTATGAGTTTATTTCTCATGAAAAAGTGTCAGGTTGACAGCTGAGTCCACTTTATCCACAGAACATGTTACCAACGTCTATAACAGGGGTCGGCAATGTTTGCCACGCGGCTCGCCAGGGTAAGCACCCTAGCAGGCCTGGCCAGTTTATTTACCTGCTGACGCAGCAGGTTCGGCCGATCGGGGCCCCCACTGGCCGCGGCTCGCCGTCCCGGGCCAATGGAGGCGGCGGGAAGCCGCAGCCAGCACATCCCTCGGCCCGCGCCGCTTCCTGCTGCCCCCATTGGCCCGGGATGGTGAACCGCGGCGAGTGGGGGCCGCGATCGGCCGAACCTGCCACATCAGCAGGTAAATAAACTGGCCCAGCCCGCCAGGGTGCTTACGCTGGCGAGCCGCGTGCCGAATGTTGCCAACCCCTGGTCTATAATGTACATTGGCCTAGAAGAAGTGAAAGGCTTCAGATCTCATCATTACTAGTCCCACCTTGTCTGTTCTTATATGAAGGCAGCAATATTTAGTATTTAGATTGCAGTGGCATTCACTTTCCAAATAAAGGAGACATCAGAGTTCTTGCCCTACATATATAAAGCCCAACATAGCTATAAAGTAAGAAATGTTACTGAAGCATGCAAAACAGCAAGTTATTTTCCCAAACTTGTGCATTGTAAGATTTTTGGGGGTGTGGGAAATTGATGTACAAAAACACATAGTCAAAGCAGAATCATTTTGTCCAAATAACTATAACAGCAGAGTTTATTTGGAGGGATCTGAGGGGAGGGAGGAAAGAGCCTTAGTACTACATCCCATTGATTTTAAAATGAAGCTGTCAGCAGCTTGTTGCAAGAATGATAGTATTTAGTACAACAGTGTGTACTAACATTTAAATTTCATTGTTTCTAAATTCCAAGTTAATGTAGCAGCTCAAAATAAAATTCACTGCGCTGACCTTCTCTTTCTTCAATGGAGTAATCCAAAAAAAAAAGAAGAAAAAAACCACTAAAAACAGAGAGCCTGTAATCATAGGAAAATTATAATGAGAGCCTGTAAAGTTTCCTGCAGCTAAATGTCACTAAGAAGAAAAAAAATTTACAAACGGATTGAACAAACTCCTGCTTGTGGGATTTTAGCAAGATTAGGTACAGCCAGGATTTTTACAATAAGCAATTTATCTTTAAATATTTAAATATGAAATAAATCCAGAATAGTCTATCTTCGACATAATATATATCTTTACCATGTCTTCGATGTATCATCTAGTTGTCACACTGTACAAGTAACAATTTTACTATATGCATGATTTGACAGCTGGATTTAATTGTCTTTCTGTAAACATAGCAGACATGTATAAAAAGCACTAGATATCAACCCAGTGAAACAAATACTTCAATAAAAGCCGCTTACATTTGAACATGTGAGATGATCAATTAAAAATTATCCATGGGCCATAACTTCTGTGTATGATGGATTCTATCTTTCCATAGATATTCTTCACTTAAGCCTGTAAGTGTTTGCAGTATTGTAACCTAACTTTCAGACCAGGAGTAGTCCCAATGAAGTCAATCGAAACTACTCACATGCTTAAAAGTTATTGATAAGCATCTGCAGTACCAAGGCCTTACATGTTAGCTTTTATGTTCAATCACACTGTTCAGATGGTAAGACAGACAATATAATCTAAAATACTTTATTGCAAAATTAAAGAGACTGAAATTTTAATATTTTATATTACACATCAAATGTGCATTTGGAACTTCACTACCAGGTGTGAAAATTAGGCAAAATGAGAACCGCATAGTTAAATTACTTTAAGGTATCTGACTGAAGATATAAGACCCTAGCTCTTCTCGATGCATGGGTGATTAATGACATAATTTACATGTTGAGAGAGATACAAGTAAATACCTTTTCACTGATATGGGAAATACCTCTGAGTCTACAAGACAGTTAGAAGAGCATAGTCTAATATTATAGGGAACAACTCTTATTGCAAGACATTTTTAAGGAAGCAAACTTTAACTAATGCTTCCTCCAGCCAGTAGAGTTGTAATACTTCCTACAGCTAACATCTGTAAATAAACATTCTCCTCTCATCTCATTTTCATAGAATCATAGAATATCAGGGTTGGAAGGGACCTCAGGAGATCATCTAGTCCAACCCCCTGCTCAAAACAGGACCAATCCCCAGAAAGATTTTTACTCCAGATCCCTAACGGGCCCCCTCCAGGATTGAACTCACAACCCTGGGTTTAGCAGGCCAATGCTCAAACCACTGAGCCATTTAGAGGAAAAGGCATCTTTACAACTCTGTCCTTGAAATCCATGACTTATCATGGAAAGGAGCATCTGCACCTGACCGAGAGAGATGCTGCTCCCCTGAATACAGGTGACTACATACCGAGTAACATTAATGCCAATAAATCAAAACTGGCCAATTTTCAGAAACAGACGCGAATTTCAGAGGTCCAACTCGAGAGGCTTGAGGTCGGATATTCAAAAGGTGCCGAGCATTCATAGCTCTCACTCAGCATTTCTGAAAAATCAGTCTCACGTACCTCAGCCTAGCACCCCCAATCTGTAGTCATGGTGACAATGTTGGCCTTAGCACTGCTAGTATTCCCTTTCATCTGAACTGATTTGCAGAATGGACTTCTTATGCTTCCAATAGCAGGCCAAATCCTCCAGTCCATAATCAACCAAAACTCCCACTGAAATAATTCATTGTTACAAAACCTGCAACGACTCTATAAATAACAATCACAAGAATACTGTACTTTATGAACCAGACTGACATAGCAACTATGCTCTGAGAGGACATAAAATTTATCAGACAAAACAAATATCCACACTTCACCATGCACTGACAGTGTCCTTGATGCTGTGTCAGATCAAGGAAGACTAATCTAGCAGCGTTTGACAAACTGGTATAGTCAAGTTTATGGAATGCTTTGTATATTTAATAAGACTCATCAGTGAAGGGTGTTATTTATGCAATATTATAAATGTTTTAAACAGAACCAGATCCCATGCAAACTGCTGTGTGCAGGAGAAAACATTTTACTAATTTTACATAAAGAAACAGCATCCAACCACAGTAACAGCTAAACAACAACAACACTTAAATTCAATAAATTAACCTGACAATTCTTTTTAGATAGCTGCAGTCTTTTTTGGGGGGATATGGGGAGCAAATCAATTAATATTTACTCTATCAGTTTTGCCCTTTTCTAATTGACAAGAAAAAATGGTTTTTCCCTTGTTTTGAATGGAGCTGAAATTAACACCTCTTTTTCTTCAAACAAAGCTATATAAGCAAAGGCCATGTTAGAAATGAATGGGACTTTTGCCAATGTGTTCAACAGGCAGGGGATCCAGGCCAGAGGTTCTGTGCATGCCCATGTTGTTAATGAAGACTTCACGGTCATGGACATGGTTTTATTAGTTAGCTATTGCTCACACAGGTAGAAAGAGGAATACCATTGTGGTTCTTTGTACTGGGAAGTGAAGTAATAGACTTAAAACAAGACATAAACCAGTGGACTCACAATTTAGAAGCAGATTAAGTCTTGAACTAAACTTGATATTGCCTTCTGATTACATAATACTTGTAATTGTAAAAGGGCTGTCCTAAGAGGTTTCACTGTAGTTTCTATGGAATGTAACTCCAGATAGTGTTGCTGTCATGGATTTTACTAGGTCTTACCAGTGTGAAACTCCCTAATAAACAACTCACCTTTATCTTAAAAAAAAAAAAACAACACACCTCAATTTGCTAGAGAAAGAACAAAAGAGAAATCTCCACAATCAGATATGGCCTTAGGTCCGATACTGGAGCTTTTGGCTTCCTTCCTTCTCTATTTTTTGCCAGACTAATCATCAGATTCTCCAGCTCAGGCCTCCTAAACACAGGCCAAAGCACATTTGCTTTAACACCTTTTCATTGAAACTTGGTTAATATATTTCCCTGTTCCCTTAAATGAAATCCCTTCATTTTATGCTGGATTTGTACCAAATATTCTAATTTAGTGGACACCCACATATTTTGGAGTTCTTTAGTAGCACAAAGACATTTTCTAGCTCAAAGCCTGTGGCATATTTGATTCAAATGAACAAGATCAACTTGTTTCAGAATTTTCCTCCCTCAGTTATACCAAAAGTCTTGTCAGCATAGCAACTCTTATAAAAAAGAAATAAATTACCATATTTTTATTGTTCATAATATGCATTCTAATCAATAAATCAATTTTTCTTTGGTTTAAGAATCACCTTGACCAACCCTTGGCTTATTCTTTTTAAAATGAAAGAGGAAGCTTTTCAGATGTAAAATTCTACCTAAACATTTTTTGTGAAAGAGGAACTTTCAAAATATAATACAGAGGCATAGGTTTCTTTTAAACTATGAAACAAGTTTTACAAATCCTTACTTTCAACTCTGACTATTATGAAGATATGGTCAAATAAAGGAATTTACTCACTCATGACTGGAAACTTCTTTGCATATAGCGCGAGACAGGTATAGAACCAAGGTATCTTCTTGGAAAAGGTTTCTCAGAGGTATACATGTCCTGAACAAAGAAAGAAAAGGGTATTATTCTCACAGCTTATACCCAAACAATTAAAAATGATTCTTTCAAAATAAGTTATTTTCCTTGTTAGTTTGTCATCCCCTTTCTTAAAAAAAAAAAAAAAAAATTAAAGAAAGAAACCTCGCACCAAAAAAAGTGTCTTTGTTAATTCTTGGATTTCATTGTTTTATGATATGAAACAACATTCTTGAAATTTAATCTTCTAATATTCGCACTTTCTTGTAAGAGTCATTCTAGTAGGTCTTCAAAGACTAATTCATAAACTGTAACTGCTCCCTTATGGGTAATAAATGTTCATCAGGCATGAAATACAAGATTGAGCACATTTTTTCTAGTAGATGTAGCATTATTATAAAAGTCATACTTCTTCCCAAGTAAATTCAGTTAGCAGGAAGATGCAGTAAAAAGTATTCTATAACGAGATGACCACACAGAAAATTTAGTAAATAAATATGGTTTCGGCACTAACTTCTAATACTTCCCCCCCCATCCGCCAAGAAACCAAGTCTTGAAAAGTGACAACTCCATCTAGTGAGTGTAAGCCATCACACCTGTCAAAAATAAAAATCCAAACCTAAACAAGACATCTAAGTAGGACAGATGTTGATTTTTTTTTATTTTTTTTTTACAATACATGCCTGGCTTTATCCATAGCTAAACATGCAACATTAATTTGTAATAGTAAAAGCACAGCAAAGTATGCTTTAGAATGTTTATTAAATAACCTCCATGAGCAATTTTATACAGATGTATGAAAACTGTTAAAATTGAGATGACTGTATCTCATAATTAACTTAAAATCAAAAACAAGAAACGCAAAATGCATTATATATTAGGCTATAAAGAGTTTTCTTTCAATACCTGCACAGGGATAGACTTTCTGTAAACTAAGGAATATTCTCTAATATGATCTATTTCTTCTTTCCAGGACCAAATATAACTTGCAGAGCCTGACCACCTGTGCTAGTCAAGCCAGATAATTCCTTCTGCTGACTCAGATTTCAAGTCTCAACTCTCTTCATCTCATAAGGCTAAAGAGAATACACACAAGGAGAGACAATTATCAAACTTCTTTAAAAGTGTGACTGAGCATAACATTTACAGATTTGTAGCAAATGCCAAAAGGGTAAAGGAAAGAGCATAGTATGTACTGTTGAGCCAGCTCCAACTGCTGGATCAATTGCTAAACTGGCAAAAGGGACACCTAGAAAGAAGACTGCAACAGTGTTGTAATCTTACAAACACCAATGAATATTGCAACCAGCCCCTGTGCACTGGATGGAAAGTGAGGACAGACTTAGGAGGAGGAAGAAAACAAAACAAAGAACACTAAGTTGTGAGATGCTGCAATTGGTAAAGAAAAAATTTGACATTTCAAGTCCTGTTGATTCTCTCCATGAATAACTGCTAAATTGAACATCTAAGCACACACAGCTTAATCAAAAATAAAATGCTTAGTTAAAACATATCATTAGAACTGCAGTCTTGTCAGTTTTCTTTTGATTATTGATGTCAAAATTAGCAAATGTAGTGTTCACTACATTTAATCACTTACTACACTAATTACAGTTATTATATTAGAGTATCATTACGGCTGGAGTTACACAGATTTGGGCCCCAATCTTGCAATTGGGACTGCATGTGTGGAGTCAGCTGGAGAATCAGAGCCCTGCACTCAAATGCGTTTTCAGGGGGATATTGTTTCGTCTACACTACAGGAAAAACAGCATACTAGCATAGCGCTCTGCTTTAATAGGGGTATCTGTATTACAATACTTTCTGTTGCTGACGTGGACAGGAAAACGCAGCTCTATAAACAAAAACAAACCCTTAGTTTTGAAAAACAGTCAGTGTTGTTAAGTGGCAACAACAGTTATCCCTCACATCATTTACAAAATCCAAGCACCTAAAATTAAGGAAATTAGTAGTTAAGGTCATCATAAATTTTACACTGCCCACATATTAAGTACAAAGTGTGTGTTTATTAAGTATGAAGAAATGCGTATTTCACTATATTGTAACCTGAACTCTAATCTATGGGGGGGGGGACAAGGGCAGTGATAAATAATTTCACTATCTAAATTTTTCTTTGAAGATATGCTATTAACTGATATGTATCATTTAACATTTTTTATGCTGAAGTATACTTTCTGTTCCTCAAGAATAATGCTGCCTGTGCGGTGGGGGCGGTTTAAAATGATGCAGTAAGTAACTCTAGCTTTGTCACTTACCTTTGTTAAAACATAAAAAAGATGTTTGGGGATTTTTCTGCAACAGTTATAGACTGTTTTCTTACATACCAACAACATTAAGAAGTGTTATAACGCACATGCTCCTCAGTCAGACAGGAAACTGTTAATTGTTTTTCTTGTAGTGAAGATGTGTCCCTTAGAAAGGTTATCTTCATGTAAGATGTTGAATCAAGGTCCTTTCTGCCTTCTGGTAGCTAGCCAGTAAATAACGCTTTCAGAAAAGAGCATAGGGCATAAGGTAAGCCTGGCCAATATTGCCTCTATGAATAAAGCAGGTTCTAATATGCTTTGGTGGTATGCAAGTTATTACTGAGCTTTAAATGCTGACATGTTTGCCTACACAGTCACTGAGCTACCAATACCTAACTCTTAGCTTTGAAAGGAGCATTTAGATACCTCAAGTATGGGAAGGAAGCTCTTTAGAACACCAAATTCACATCTACTTAAAAAAAATCCAAATACATCATATCCTACCTAACATTGTATCAGCATTTACATTGTACTTTCCTCTTGTAAACTGTAATTTCTACCTAAACCATCATGAATGTAATCAGGGCTGTAACTAAATTACAGGATACGATAGCCTTGTTCTATGCAGTTTGCATCATCCATGCAATGCCAAAGTAGAATCTCACAATGCACAAGAGTATGAGATTCCGTTAAAATTATAATTAGAAATTCAGCTCTAATTACTGTTCTGTGCATACTCAATTTTGGTACCATTTTAACTTAGATGCACAGACGTTTCAAATAAGATAGAATGTACATTTCCAGTCATCAGGAAGCAGAAAGACCATAGGATCTTTGTCCTGCAGATTTCCCAATTGTGTGTCATATACCCACATAGTTTATATACATAAAATCATGATAAAGTGATCTAAACAGAGCCTAAGTGCAAATAAATTATTTTGGTGTATTTTACTTTCCCCATAAGCCTAAACTGCTATTATCCTTCAAAAGATAACAGATTCAGAGCTTTCACAAGGGCATATTTGAAATTCTGACAGGCAGCAAATGAACAAAATATAACATCTGAAATGATTAGTTTCTAAGACACATAATGAGAGAGCAAAGGGACTGCTGGTTTAAAGGCAATTTCAGTAATCTAAAAATATTTTACACTGCACTCAGTTTACATCTGAAGTAGGAAGTTATAATCAGTAACATTATATAAAAGATTTTTTAAAGTTTAAAAACAGGCAAGCAGTGTCACCTAAGGGCAGTGCCATTACAGAGAAACTTACAAAAAAATTAAGAACTTCTTTTATCTGGTGTTTAGATATGCCCAAGCGAGAGAGAACATAAAATTCACAATAATGAAACTGTCCTATGGTTTAATGAGACAAGGTGGGTGAGGTAATATCTTTTATTGGGTCAACTTCTGTTGGTGAGAGAGACAAGCTTTTGAGTTTACACAGAGCTCTTCTTCTGCCCTGTTCCAATAAAAGATATTACCTTGCCCACCTTGTCGCTCTAATACCATGGGACCAACACAGTTACAACACTGCATACTACTGTTTAATAATCTAAACTGACTCTCTGATTGACCACAAATGAGGAAGCATACAGTAGAAGCACAGATCAAACACAACACACCCTCTTCTTTGAGCACAGCTGGAGTACTTAAACTACAAAAAAGTGTTCAGCAAATTGCTTTTGGCTCTCTGCAATGTTGATTGGTTCCTGGATTTAGTATATGTAAGCCTAACAAACTTTGAGTGTCTACTGTGCAATAGCAGCTTTAGAAGTTAATAGAATACACAAGTTTGGTGACGCACTAAGTAATCATACAAAAGTTACTCTTTTGAGCAGGGCTTTGGAGCTGTGCTCTGGCTCCACTCCAGCTCCAGGCAAAAACCTACTGCTCCGGAGCTGCTCCACACTCCAGCTCCGGGCTCCGCTCCAAAGCCCTGCTTTTGTGAAGATACTATACAACACTGGTCCCCCATGAAAGCTACTTATTTGTTGTAGAGAAGGAATTTACTTTCATTCCACCAAAATTCACCATTAGAGCTAAAGTCCAGCCAGCCCCTAGCAGTTGAGTTTCTATGCCACTACTTGTTCCAAACCGCAACTACACAAAGAAAGTTGTTGTTTAAGTGTGCATGAGCAACTGAATGGTTCATGAGATGGTAGACGGAGGCAGAGTACTTCTGTCTTCATTTGAATCCAGCCCCAGTCAACAGTGAAATAAATTTGGTTTCATTCCAGTTCCCTGCAGACAGATGTCCACAAAAACCACAATATCGTTTGACAACTGGCTCTTTTGTTGGCAATCTCAGTAGATGCCAAGGACTGAGAGTGCCATGGCGATTGAAGTATATTGGCAGCAAACTATGTCGGAACCTTGTTTAGTCAGGCTGTTCTATACTAAGCCTGTGCACTTCAAACTCAAGGCTTGGCTGGCTGGCACCTTCAAGAAAGTAACCCAGAGTTTTGATAGTCTCCATAGTTATTAGCACCAGAAAGTTCACATTACTATTTCAAATATCCAGACCTCAATTATCCCAAACTCCCCCATTCTCCAACAGCAATGACACCAAAGAGCCCCCAGCCATCGTGACACAGAGCCCCATCCCCAAAAGCAATTACAACAGAGAGACCCCAGGTTATCATAGACTTGCCATCACTCTGACAGAGTCCAGTCACACCCACCCCAACAGCAATTACACCAGAGAGCCCCCAAATTATCAGATAGCCCCCATGGCCCTGACACAGAGCCCATCCTCCGCTCAGAGGCAATGACACCAAAGAGCCCCCACCCAAATATTGGATACCCCCCATCACCCAAACACAGAGCCCATCCGCCGCTCAAAGGCAATGAAACCAAAGAGCCCCCCAAATATTGGATACCCCCCCCATCACCCAAACGCAGAGCCCATCCTCCGCTCAAAGGCAATGACACCAAAGAGCCCCCAGTTTATCTGAGCTCCCCCAGCTCCTCAATGGCGATGACACCAAACTCCCCCTGGATCACCAAACCCCCTCATCCTGCTGGCACCGCTCCCCAGATCCCCCACAACAATGATGCTTCCCCCCCACCCAGCCATTCCCCAGAACTCCCCAACTCCTGACACACTGTCCTCCCCTGCTCCCTCCCCCCAGGCTGAGGCCCACCTCCCTCCCCAACAGGGCGGAGACACACACAGGCTTAGCAGAGGGGCCTGCGCCCCTTCTCTGGTTTGAAATTGAAAGGGGTCCTGCCCCCTCCGTGAGTGGCGGGGTCCAGCTCCCCCCACCCGCAATGGAGAGCTCCGGCGCTCCACCCCCGTAGCACTCGGAATGGAAGGGTCCGCCTCCTCAGCCCCTCGGAACGGAAAGGTCCGCCCCCCACCCCCGGCTCCTTACCCGCGAGTGGAGGGGCCCGACTCGCCGCCACCCCCCCGGGCTCGGAATGGAAGAGTCCGCCTCCCCAATGACCCACCAGCCGTGAGGACGGAGCCAGTCCCAAGGGGAGCGCAATGGCCGGACGTCCCGTCCCTACCTTGCCTCGGCCTCCGTCCGCCTCCTCCCCGCAGGCGCTTCCCCGTGCAGTGCCCCGGCCCCAGCGGCCTCCAACCAGGAAGCGCCCTGGTGTGTGACACCTACTCACTGCAACTATGGAAACCGCCCCTCCCATCCCGCCTGCGGCCACAGCGCCGCCCCATAGGGCGAGCCCGCAGCCGCCGCCATCTTGGGCTCACAACGAGGCTGAGGGGGACCGACTGTCGCCACGCAGGGCGAGCCCGCGGCTGCCGCCATCTTGGGCTCACAACGAGGCTGAAGGGGACCGACTGTCGCCACACAGGGCGAGCCCGCGGCTGCCGCCATCTTGGGCTCACAACGAGGCTGAGGGGCCCAGGTGCTGCCCTGTGCGGGAGTAGGTGGTTCTCCCTCCGTGCAAAGGGAGGGCTGGCCCTTGCTGGAGTCAGGTAACGCTGGATCCAGTGGGTATGGTTCCCTGTACAGGGGATAGGCATGCATGGTGCTGTATAGGTATGAAATGTGACAGGGGCCCTGGCCCAAGAGGCTTGCAATCTAATGCAGACACCAGGCTAAGATAACCTGGCAGGCACTGACACAGTGCGGGGATGGGGATGGGGAGAGAATTAGTGGGGTAACAATACAAGAGGGGAGGGAAAGGGGAAGTTCAGAAGAGGGATCACTTTTCTCTTTGTATTACAGACACTTCTGGTTGTGTTCATTTGAGTTGTACAAGACTCCTGACCCCACGTCTTCAGAAGGCATGAATCAAGCCCCCAAAATCCTATCTTTAAAAAAAAAATTGTGACATTTAAAAAGAATTAATACCTTTGAAATGCTTTTTATTGTTTTGTTTCCTAAGTTTAAAGACCACGTGATTGAGCTTTTCTCCACCACCAGGAAGGATAGAAATGAACTTTTCTAAAAAAAAAAAAAAAAAAGGAAAGGAAAGAAAACAGCTTTTCCCATAATCACATTTCTTTCAGAGCTAGGACCTCAAGCAAATATCACAAGATTTGGCAACACTGCCATGGTGGTTGGGAGTTTGTTTTTTAATAGTGTATAGGAGGAGTGCAGTAGTTAGGGCAGGTGCAAAGAGCTGCAGACATGAGTTGCTTAAGTAGACGTTGGCTTTAAGAAACAAGTTGTTAGGAGGGATTTGATATGAAGAAGAGGAATGACAGAGATAATGGAAGACATTTTGGAAAAGAGATGCTCTGGGAATTAATAGTTCTGGGTTTTGTTCTTGTCTTTAACCTCATAGTTTTTTTTAACATTCACTAACTAATCCTTCCTTATGACACCCTATCTAATATGTAAGTATAATTTCCATTTTATAGATGGAGACTGAGGCACAGTGAGATTAAGACACAGATCCCCAACAGTATTTAGAAACCTAAATACCATTGAGAATCTGGGCCTAAGTACATAACCTAGGTCACACACAAAATTACCAGCAGACATCCATACCCAGAAACAGAATCCAGGAGTCTTAACTCCTCATCCTACACCTAGGTAACACTGCCTTCCTAAATTATTTAAATGCCTCATTTGGAACAGCTGAAGTCTCTGCATAGTCACTATCAAACATATGAGAGCTGATATGCAAGGTAGTGGCAGAACCTTATGGAGTGTAGAGTGGCATCAACCTTAAGTTTGCTTGTCAGGGCAAGGACTTCTGTGGCCCATATCCTACAACCACATATGCACACATGTAACTTCCCACGTGTGAGCAATTCTATTAGTTGTCTACAAATAATATACACATATTTGCCTGGTCCTTTAAAATGGGCCAGTTTACCAAAGTTGAAAATAATTAGGAACAAAATTGGGAAGGAAAAATAAACAGAAAAATGTGAAAGATAACTGGAGCTGTTTGGAAACATTTCATTAGATGAACTCTCAGTTCCACAATCACCAAAGGCAGCTACGTTGGTTTAGAAATAAAAAATAAATTGTGGTCAAGAGGGAAGAAAACAGTAGCAATAAATTATATATATAACAATTTGAAAAAAAGAGGAAGGTTGACAGCAATGAACATAAATTAGAAGTTAAGAAATTAAGACATGATTAGGAATAGAGGTATGAAAAATATACAGCCAGGAAAATAAGGACAATAAGAATTTTTTAAAAAAACATATCAGGAAAAAAGGGATCCTAATAAGGATATAGATACATTACTAGACAGATATAGTAACTGTGCAGAAAAAACAAATGTTAAATAAGTAGTTTTACATTTTGAAAGATGCTGGATAATGTATTCATATTATAATGATTATTAAATACTTTCTAGTCCAACAGTAACTAAGGAGGATGTTAAAAAGAATCTACTAAAGTTAAACATTTTAAAATCTGCAGCTCCAGATAACTTGCATCCATGAGTTGTAGTGCTCTCTAGACCATTGATGTTGTTTTTAATAAATCTTAGAATACTGATGAAGTTCCAGAAGACTAAAAAAAAATGTACTGTTGTGCTACTATTTAAAAGAGGTAACTAAAATGACCTGAGTAATTACAGAGTGGTTAGCCTGAGGACAAGCCCAGGCAAAATAATGGAACAACTGATATGGGATTCAATCAATAAAGAATGGTAATATAATTGAATGTCTATCAACATAGCTTAATGGGAGATCTAGTCAAACAAACTTTTTTTTTTTAATAGATTTCAAGTGTGGCTGGTAAAGATAACCTCTTTTACTAACTGGTGTTAAGAATTTTCTGCCCAATGCATATTATTGAGCAAAATCTCATGTGCTTCTCCTAAGTAGGAGGTAAGTATGAGCCCTCTTCCAATTTTACAGAAAGAATAACAGGTTGCACTTGGTTGCTTCTGGCAGAGCCGGAAGTAAAACCCAAGGTCTCTACTATGGCAGATCCCCCATCTCAGCGACACGGCCTCTCAGAAAGAGTCTGGCAAATCAGGGTGCTCGGGTGTGAGTGGTAGCATTTCACGCTGACTTTGTACAGCGATAAAATGACTCCAAGGTGTAGACGGTGAAGAATCAAATCTGTAGTGTCTATATGTCCCCTCTGTTTTCATTCTGTTCAGAGGAAAAGTCACAAATGGCAGTGATTTATGCTTTCAAATATTTTAGAAAGTAATTGTGATTGACTGGCATGTCAGCACCTCACAAACCCTGAGAGACTTACAATGACCTGTTCTTACTCCTTCCAGTTTAAAGTCTTAATTGTCTTGTTCAAGATTTTAGAAGCTGTTCGAATACATAAACACATTTAGTTTTCTTCAAGCTGGGGATATTTTCCGTCCCTAAATGGCTAGTTACTTAAGATAAATGTCTTCCAAAGAGAGCGCTCTCCTTCACCTAACCCATCTGCCCTCCACTTACTACACATTCAAACTATATGTCATCATTTTCTATTTCCTGCATGATCATTGGTTTCTGTTGTAATGTTACAGCCGGGGTTGTGAAATTGTTTTAAAAGTGGAGTTTTCAGAGTGGCTGACAGTGATATCATGTTTGTGTTAGCAATAACCCTACAATTCACAGGTAATGTCTCCACCAGCACTCCCTTTTTATTGCAGTGCTTAGACAGTAGAGCAACAATCAGTCTTATTTATATAGCATCAAAAAATATATGTGGTACTTTAGAGGCAAATAAGAGACACAGGGTCAGCTCATCAGCTGGTATCTGTCTATTGAAGTCAATGGAGTTGTACTGATTTACATCAACAAAGAGTCTCACCCATGGTCCTAGCTTTTAAAAGGTTACAGTCTGTCAGGTCTTAGGTAGTCCTCATGGTCAGAGCAGGAGTTAGGCCTACTGGTCAGAGTCCAAATGCGAGAGCCCAAGCTCAAGGCACAGTCAGAGCTGGGGATCAGAGCTGAAGGTCAGAACCAAAGTTAGAGTCCGAATGCCAGGGCCAAGGATTAGGATCGTTGTCAGAGTCCGAATGCCTGAGCCCAGGGTCAAGACAGAGTCAGACCTAGGAATTAGTGCTGATGGTCAAAGAACCAGATTATCAGGAGTCAGGGAACGCAGGAGCGGTTGCAAGGCAAGAGCAAGACTGGGTTCAGGGCTTGGAGTGAGGCAAGCACAGGGAGGCAGAGAATCCACAGGTATGTTCATTGAGCAGCCACTGATCCACTGCAGCTGCTGGGCTTAAGAGCAGGCCATCTGAATACCTTAGCCCAGTGGTCCCCAAACTGTGGGGCATGCCCCCTAGGGGGGACACAGAGGAACGTTATAGGGGTCATGGCCACCGAGCCCCACTCTGCCTCCAGCTATGCTCCAGCCCCGCCCCCAGCCCAGCCACAGCTCAACACTCAGCCATGGCCCCAACCCCACCCCATGCCTTGGCCTCCAGTCACGGCCCCATCCTTGGTCTCCAGCCCCAAACACAGCTCCACTCCAGGCCCAGCCCCGACCCCAGACCCACCCCCAACCATGCCCTGGCCTCGGCCTGTGGTTCCCACCCTGGATGCGACTCCAGCCCCAGCCTCAGGCCCTGACCGCAGCTCCGCTCCCAGCCACAGCTCTGGCCCCGCTTCCAGCCACAGCTCCTGACCATGGCTCCCAGAGAGAGAGAGAAGTGCGGATGGGGTAAGGAGGATTGGGGGCTAGATGTAAAAAGTTTGGGAACCACTGCCTTATCCAATCAGGTGGTTTTGCTGTGTCCTAGCTGCACTCATTGATTGATTGACTGACTGGTCAGGCGCACCTGCAGGCCCTTATTCTTGACATAGTCCAAGATCTTACAGTGTTCTGGGCACGCTGCATGCCAACTAGGTGAAGGCACAGAGCAGTCTGCAGGTCAGCACTTCATCTTGTAATGGCTTTACTTAGGACCCAGTACTGCAAGGGGCTGAGTTCTGATATTACTGTGCTATAATAATTAAAAACACGCTATACTCAAAAGACCAACACATCTGGCTAAAATCTCTCTATAATAAAGTAACCAGTTTAGGGTTGCCTGGCATCTGGTTTTCGACCAGAATGCCCAGTCGAAAAGGGACCCTGGCAGCTCTGGTCAGCACAGCTCACCGGGCCGCTAAAAGTCCAGTTGGCCGCAGTGGCCAGCTCCCGGAAGCGGCTGGCATGTCCTTCCGGCTCGTAGGCAGAGGAACAGTCGGGGCCTCCGCGCGCTTCCCCTGCCCGCAGTGCAGGCACCACCCCAAGCGCCAGCTCCAAAGCTCCCATTGGCTGGGAACCACGGACAGTGGGACCTGCGGGGGCAGCACTTGCGGACGGGGGTGGCGTGCGGAGCCCCCATGACCGCCCCTGCGCCTAGGAGCCAGAGGGACGTGTTGCTGCTTCCCAGGAGCTGCCTGAAGTCAGTGCCGCCTGGAGCCCCTCCCCGAACCCCCTCCAGTGCCCCAACACCCTAACCCAGCTTGGAACCCCCTCCTGCACCCAAACTCCCTCCCGAAGTCTGCACCCCTGCCCCAGCCCAGAGCCCTCTCCCGCACTCTGAAACCCTTGGTCCCAGCCTGGAGCCCCCTTCTGCCTCTCAAACCCCTCATCCCCGGCCCTAGCCAGAGCCCGCACCCCTCCCATACTCCATCCCAGAGCCCCCTCCTGCACACCAAACCCCTCATCCCCAGCCCCACCCCAGAGCCCACACCCCAAGCTGGAGCCCTCACCCCCTCCCATACCCCTGCCCCAGCCCAGAGCCCCTTCCCATACCCTGAACCCCTCATTTCTGGCCCCAGCCCAGAGCCAATACCCCTAGCCGGAGCCCTCCCCCAGCCCAGAGCCCCCTTCCACACTCCAAACCCCTCAGCCCAGAGCCCCCTCCTGCACTCCAAACCTCTCATCCCCAGCCCCACCCCTGAGCCCACACCCCCTCTCATACCCCAACCCTCTGCCCCAGCCTGGAGCCCCTCCCACACTCCAAACCCCTCATCCCTGGCCCCACCCCAGACCCTGCACCCCCAGCCAGAGCCCTCATCCCCTCCTGCACCCCAACCCTCTACCCCAGCCCGGTGACAATGAGCAAGTGAGGGTTGGGGAGAGCGAGCGATGGAGGGAGGGGGGATGGAATGAGCAGGGGGCAGGGGCTGGGTTAGGGTGTTCGGTTTTCTGCAATCAGAAAGTTGGCAACCCTAAACCTATTCCTTTCTACCAGATGCAAGACAAATGTCCAAGTTCATAATATAAGGATTGTATGATCTTCTAGGCAACTATTTCTCATTATGCTGTGCCCTTTATTTTTGTCTTTCCATGGAGTCTTTAAAACCTATTGCTCTTTTCAATAAAACAGTATTTTTAAAACATTTGTGAAACCTTCAACATATGTGCAGAACTATCCAAAGTAACCATGACATCTTATTGTTATAACCTTGGCTATCAGCAGATTTTCTATAGAGCCTTTCACCATAGTATCTACAGGCTTCCCAAGTAAATTGGATTGACATTGTGAGGGCTTCACAGTGTCTTCTGCTCTTCTCCCTTCCGTGGTTGTTAGGGGCTCTGCTTGGGGGTATAATTTGTGTGTCCTCACTATTCTGTTTATGGTGGCATTAAATGGAAGGTCTTCCAATGTGTCTTGAAGATGATCAGACTTTGAATGAGCCTCATCTCCTTCACTAGCTCATTTCACAACTGAACTCTTTCAACCAAGTACATCTTATTTCAAACTCTTAGGTGTTGTATCCTGGGCTTTTTCAGCTGTCTTTGTGGGTCACAGATGGAAATGGAATCACTGAGGTAGTTAGATTCCAACACATTAATGGCTTTGAATATCGGGACCAAGTCCTCAAATTGGTAGCTATAGCAGATTGGGAGCCAAGTGGAAGTATCAGAGCATAGTAGTAATGTGCTCGCAGCAGCCTATCCCAGTGAACAAGTCCATTATGCTAGGCACTGTACAAACCCAGACAAAGACTCATTCCAGGCCCTGAAAAGCATAGCTGTGACATTACAGAATGATGCATTCTGAGGCTTCAAATAACAACAGAGCCAGTAGGACTTTGTTGGACTTCAGACAAATTTTAAAAGGTTTTGGTTTGCTTTGGTTTTGTGCTGCATACTCATCTTAGCTTGGTTAGTGTGAGGAAATGCAGCACATGCTTGTGTAGCATATGGGGTTTCCCTTTTTGTTTGCAGATCACTTTTAAGGTGTCTGATTTGGTGTTTTAGTCTGTGTCACTTGAAATGTAAACTGTTTATTGCATGGCCATGTAGCCCTGAGAATGGCTTAGGATAACTTGCATATGAACAAATACATGCATTAGCCTTAAAATCAAACACTCAGTGTTCAGTCTTGGAGGCTTGTCAATTTTAAAAACTACACTAACCATTATAAAGGATATTTTTGAAATGTGATTTGATATGAAGTCATTAAAGCAGTAGGAACAATAAGGGCCAGGCAGCTATTCCAGTGTCATGCAATAATTCATGTCAATATTATGTAAAGTTAAATGTACTCAACTTTAAAATACTGTTTTGTTATTGAAAATAGTTAGTGTCGGGGGAGGGGAATTGCTGCAGAGCAAAAGTGTGTTGTGGGAAGGGATGGAAGTAGGAATCTGCGTAGGAGTGTTTGCCCTTTACCCCAGTCAGGCTTTAGTACTGAATTGCAGTCCTCTCATTTTTCTGGCTGCCTAAATCTTATTTTCTGTTCCCTTTGGTTCCGATTGTTCATTTGGCCTCATATAGTTCCCCATTGTCAACTGACTTTTTTTGTTTTCTTAGGTTCAGCTCAGTTGATTGAGGCCTCCGCTCCTGCTGGCTGCTGTCTTCCTAATCGGTTTTGAATGTATGTAGTGCTTCCTGTCACTGCCTGATAAAATGGGCTGTTTCTGTCAAGACAAATTTTCTGCATCTCTCTGCCTCCCTCTCTTCTCTCATATTTTCTGTCTCCTCTCCGATTTTCTTGCCTTTCTCCATTAACCTCCTTCTGTCTCTTTCTCCCCTCTGTTATCTCTATTTCACATCCTCATTGTTTCTTTGTCCCTTTCTCTCTACTTATTTAATTTTGATTGAGCCCTCAGTTAGGATGACCAGACAGCAAATGTGAAAAATCGGGACAGGGGTTGGGGGTAATAGGAACCTATATAAGAAAAAGACCCAAAAATCGGGACTGTCTCTATAAAATCGGGACATATGGTCACCCTACCCTCAGTACATTTGCAGGGTCGATGAAAAGTGTATACACACAAAAACTGAATAAATTGGTACAACACAGACCCATTTTTTAAAGTATTTCTGTTGTACCCCATTGCCTTTTGGGGAAATTAAAAGCTACACAGATATTAAAAAATACATTACCTGTCGGCAAATGGAAACTGCAAGCACAGATGCTACACTAGAGCTTTCTCCACGACTCTGTATAGAACAACAGGCAGGTATACCTGGATGTGTAGAAAAGGCCAAGAGCATAATTCAGGAAAGCCCTTAGGCATGTGGTTAACAATGTGCTGATGCTTAAGTGCTGTCCTGAATTGAGATGTGTTCCTGAATCGGGGTATCAGCTTAGAATTACCTGGCCTGATCCTGTTCCCAAAGCAAAGTGAGCAGGAAGGTGATCAAAGAGAGAAAAAGAGGCCATAATCAGATGGTGTAATTTACACCCCAAGGAGAAGGGGGTGTGATGGAACAGGAAAGAAACCAATTAAGTTCTACTAAGATAAAGCGGAGGGTTGTTAGTGATGATGCACAACAAGGGAAGATGCCAGCTTACAGTTTTGCATTCCCATGTGTGTTTTCAAGGCTAGCAATCGGAAAAAGTATGTTTTTGTTAACTGTGCAGATCTGATAGGGAGCCTTTATGAGACAGTAAACCTGGAATATCAGGATGCCATTTCTATGGAGTCACTTTTCAGAACACAACTACACTTAAAGCTAAATTTAATTTATGCCATTCATCCATTGCTCAAAAAATGACTGAAATTATTTTCCTCACATTTAGTAGAAAAATTCATTTCTGGGCTGACAGCAAGATGGCAACTTGCAATGCCAAGGAAGAATTTCCCATAAAGTTACAAGCAAATGAAAACAGGAGACTATAATGGAAAACTGTAGGTACCCTGAGCTATAGCGTTTGTTACCGCAAAAGCTGTAATTACATGTCTAATGTAGTGCAAAAGTTAATCTTCAGTATCTTTTCCATTTGCTGCTGAGACAAGCAGACAGGCAGATAGAGAAGTGTAATGGATTCTGATGGATAAGGAACATATTCAGTTCACCCAGGTAAAGCTCCTTGTGGGATATCAGAATACATTTGTTCAAGAGTGTGATGTTCACAGCCTTTTCCCTGACTCTTCTGTTTGCATATTTCTAAATAAAATGTACACCAAAGCTACCTTTTTAAAAATTACTGACTACAGAATAGTATTTGAAATGATTCAAGCCTTCTGTTCAAACGTAAGTGATGCAAACAGAATTCACTACAAAATTGTAATTTATACATTTGTATTCTCTACAGCCCTGATCCTCATCTTCAGCTGAGGAATGCTCAGCCAAACGCAGGGTGGAGGTACAAAGGTGGCCTTAAAACACATCTTCCCCCTGTCGTGAAACACTGTGTGTTAGACCAGTCCTCAGTGTAAGATAAAGCAGCCTTAAGATCCCCTAACAGGGCATTACCACAGCATAACTTGCCAGGGAAAATGGAAGACCTGGCTATGCCACTCACAGGGTGGAACTGGAATAGTAACCATTACAGTAGCTGTACACCACCAGAAGATTCCCCTACATCTGACCACAAAGCCAGCTTTAAGACAGCTTCGCAGCGTTGGAGCCCTGTAAAGCTACCTTAGCAGAGGAGAGACACTGGCCTACCCACCTGTGGGGTAAACATTGTTTATCACCTCACAAAAGTCATTAAGCAAATCAGGAGTTTTGTGAAAGCCAAGACACCAAATATAGAGTTTTCAGTCATCCTAGATCCCTATTTATCCTAGTAATTTACTATTATCACTGTCATGCTCATTTTTTTTCCTTTCCCAAACTGAAAATATATTCAGGGTTCAATCTGGCTGCATTTCAGATCAATCAAGAACAGGAAGCATTGATTTTCTTAAATACCAGGGGGGGAAAAAGTGAATTTGTGCAAGGGCACATATACCTTGAGATATATGAGCCAATCGGCTTAAAATGTTGTTTTGCCCTGACCTGACAAGACTGACTGTCTCGGGCAACAAATAATCTCTTTTAATATACTACCAGGAATGTGATGGCTGTTTGAAAATGCTTCCAAAATGCAGTTTATCTTGAGGGTTGACACCTTAATAGAAACTATACCATCTCTTTGGGAACTCTGTTAGAAGCAAAAATTAATAAGGGTTACTGTTGATTCTGGGGAGAGACGGATGGTGAGAGAGACTGAATCAACTTGTCATAAGTTTTGAGCAGGACTTAAAAAAATTATGTGCCCAGCATATGAAGGCTTTCTCTAAACAGACCTGTATGACAAAGCCACTGGAATTGTCTGTTTAACCCGGGAAAGTCACAGGGCTTTGTCCTTTGCATCAACAGCTTTCGTAATAGGGTCATTCTCTCATTCGTCAGCATGATTTAAAGTTGTGCACTTAAGACTCAAGTAAGCTTCTTTGCAAACACTGTCAAGTATGGGATCATAATGAGAAGAGATTACATGTAAGCTAATTATGTTATGTTGCATTTGAAATTAATTTCCATATAAAAATTAAAAGAATACTGGGTTGCAAAAAGAATACACGCAGTAGTTAATCATGAAATTATATGAGAATATATAAAAACAATGCAGTATGCAGGGAAAGGCCACATATTGAGTGTAGGACAGAGTTTTCTTTAAAGTGCCTACTCCTGAGAACTGTGATGGCTTGTGGGACTGACAATAGATGAATTTGAATCTGGCCCAGGTCTGTTACCATCTGTCTGGTCTATACGAAATGAGCTGGTGGTCACTAAACAAATGCCTTAATCATATAGAACATAAGCAGAGGTCTCATCAGCAACGTGGTGGATTTAATGGGCATCAAAACTAGACTGATGCTTCCAGCTTTATGCTGGTGGGGCAATTGGTGGAGGCGTGCACTGCCACTGCTGTGCTGTATTTGCTTTATGGCCAGACGGTGGACTTGCATGCATAGTTGGTCAATAACTTTACATGCACAGCATTTACTTTTAGAAAAATTGGAGTCAAGGGCTATAAGGGAATATAAACAATTAAAGATTATTTTAACTGATCCTTCATTTTCACTATAATTTCAGTTGACCCAATGAGTCGAATTTAGCCTCGCTGTAAGTGGGCATGACTGCAGTGGAATTGAACCTTCTTAAAGCCAGACTGAATTTGGCCCAGTGATGCTAACCTACAGTTCTGCCAATCTCCGTGCCTGAAATTACAAATTAGGAAGCAGGCCAAGGATTGCATGTTCAGATTTAGAACAGGACTGGATTTAGGCTATAGATCAGAGTTTGGGACTGAGGCTAACCAGCCAGGTTCAACAGCATCAGAAGTTCTTGAGCTGTTCTTGTGAGATTTCCACCTCCTTGAGTCACATCAAAACCGAATCCAGAAAATAGGTCCCTTCTGGTTTTGGATTCAACCCATGAGCTAAAGAGGTGGTTTTCAAGTCCATCAGTCCCTATAAAGTTCACTGAGGAGTGGTTAGTTGGATTTCAGATTCCAGTTTAGGTTTTCCTCTAGTTTTAGAGACTGGCTCAAGCTGAAAAGGGTCCGATCTGGATTTTACATCCACCCACATGTCTGCAGCAGCTTGTATCTAACGTTTCATTTGAGCCCATTATAAAGGTACAGGCCATTTACAGAGGCCATTTTTATGCCTCTCAAAAAGTGGGGGAATGTTTTGATCTGGGGTTGTGGTCTGGACCTGTCTGATCAGAGGAACATTCTTTATAGTTGATGCCCTATAATAAAGAATAAAATTGTCAGACACATAGATGAACATCATTTGTTGGGGAAGAGTCAACATGGTTTTTGTAAAGGGAAATCATGCTACTAGAAATCATGCTACTCACCAATCTACTAGAATTCTTTGAGGGGGCCAACAAACATGTGGCCAAAGGGGATCCAGAGGATATAGTGTACTTAGATTTTCAGAAAGCCTTTTAAGCAAAGTAAGCTGTCATGGTATAAGAGGGAAGGGCCTCTCACGGATTGGTGACTGGTTAAAAGATAGGAAACAAAGAGTAGGAATAAATGGTCAGTTTTCAGAATGGAGAGAGGTAAATAATGGTGTCCCCTGGGAGTCTGTACTGGGACCAGTCCTATTCGACATATTCATAAATGATCTGGAAAAGGGGGTAAACAGTGAGGTGATAAAATTTGCAGCTGATACAAAACTACTCAAGATAGTTAAGTCCTGGGCAGACTGAAGAGCTACAATAGGATCTCACAAAACGGGGTGACTGGGCAACAAAATGGCAGATGAAATTCCATGTTGATAAATGCAAAGTAATGCACATTGGAAAACATAATCCCAACTATGCATATAAGATGGAGTCTAAATTAGCTGTTACCACTCAAGAAAGATCTTGGGGTCATTGTGGATAGTTCTCTGAAAACATCCACTCAATATGCAGCAGCAGTCAAAAAAGGTAACAGAATGTTGGGAATCATTAAGAAAAGGATAGATAATAATACAGAAGATAGCATATTGCCTCTATATAAATCCATGGTATGCCCACATCTTGAGTACTGTGTGCAGATGTGGTCACCCCATCTCAAAAAAGATATATTGGAATTAGAAAAGGTTCAGAAAAGGGCAACAAAAATGATTAGGGATATGAAACAGCTGCCATATGAGGAGAAATTAATAAAACTGGGACTTTTCAGCTTGGAAAAGAGACGACTAAGGGGGGATATGATAGAGGTCTATAAAATTATGACTGGTGCGGAGACAGTAAATAAGGAAGTGTTATTTACTCCTCATAACACACGAACTAGGGGTCACCAAATGAAATTAATAGGCAGGTTTAAAAGGAAGTATTTCTTCACACAACGCAGAGTCAACCTATGGAACTCCTTGCCAGAGGATGTTGTGAAGGCCAAGACTATAACAGGGTTCAAAAAAGAACTAGATAAGTTCATGGAGGATAGGTCCATCAATGGCTATTAGCCAGGATGGCCAGGGATGGTGTCCCTAGCCTCTGTTTGCCAGAAGCTGGAAATGGGCGACGGGGGATGGATCACTTGATGATTACCTGTTTTGTTCATTCCCTCTGGGGCACCTGGCATTGGCCAAGGTCGGAAGACAGGATACTGGGCTAAATGGACCTTTGGTCTGACCCAGTATGGCTGTTTTTATGTTCTTATGCCTTCTAACCAAAGAAACAAATACCTTTAAAACAAAATCTGTACCAGTTGCTGGCCAGATGGTAGTGAATTGTTAGATTCCATCAGCAAAACAGAGGAAGGAAATGTTTTAAAGCAAGATTATGTTATTTTCCCTAGTTCTTATTATGAAACCTTTCTGAAATGAACTTTAAAAAATTGGAACCTCTTCCTGGGGCATGAATGGAACCTCACAAACCGGAGGCTCACAAGGAAGCAATTAAAAACAAGGGAAATGTATAGCAGCAAGCAACTGAAACAAAGTATCCATGGCTGAGTTTCCAATTTCGGAGGACATATAGTAAAATATATTGAAGAATAAAAGGAAAAATAGTTATTCCATTAAAATACATGGTGTTTGTTTCCCCTTTAATTGCCACAGATTGGATGGTAGCTGGGTTCTTCATTCTCAGAGGGAAATAAGACTGAAAGCTGAGAAAGGAGATGAGATAAGGAATTGTTTATCCACCTCACTGGGGTTATGAAGTTTAACTAACTAGTATTTGTAAAGTACTTTGAGATCCTTGGATGAAAGGTACTGAATAAAGGCAGCATACTATTATTATCATCAATCATCATCAAAGAATCATAGAAAATTAGGGTTGGAAGAGACCTCAGGAGGTCATCAAGTCCAACCCTCTGCTCAAAGCAGAACCAACCCCAACTAAATCATCCCAGGGCTTTGTCAAGCCAGGCCTTAAAAACCTCTATGGATGGAGATTCCACCACCTCCCTAGGTAACCCGTTCCAGTGCTTCACCACCCTCCTAGTGAAATAGTTTTTCCTAATATCCAACCTAAACTTCCCCCCGCTGCAACTTGAGACCATTGCTTCTTGTTCTGTGGTGGCAGATAACAGAACAAGAAGCAATGGTCTCAAGTTGCAGTGAGGGAGGTTTAGGTTGGATATTAGGAAAAACTATTTCACTAGGAGAGTAGTTGAAGGCTGCTATCAAATCCCCCCTCACTCTTCTCTTCTGCCCAGTTCCCTCAGCCTCTCC